AGGGAGCGGAGTCTCTCCTCAGGGGCCGGAGCGGGCTTTCCTGTGGGCGGACGGTTGGGGGTCTGGGACACTATAGCCCTCGCCGGCGGCCTCTGGTCCGGCCAGGCTAGGCCTCGGAGTGCACGACGAGATCCGCGAGCACTGTCACCGCCTTTTCTTGGTGACTAACTCCCGGCCTCGGGGAACTCAGCGTCTCCGCCCCCGGGAGACTGAGTGAGGAAGAAGTCGGGCCGGGTGGGGAGAAGAGGAAGGAGAAGAGAGCAGGGCCCTGGGCGCCCCGGGTTTTCACTTTCGCGTAGCCGGGAAGGTGGGAGTTGGAGAAGGGGTTAGGACAAGTTCAACTCCAGCCTCTGCGGGTCGCCGTTTTATCTATCCCCCATGCACATGTGGGCTGCCTGACATGTGCCACTCGCTATTGTTTTGATAACCCAGAGCTGCTGTTTGCACAATTTCATCCCGTGTGGCCAGCCTGTCCCCTAGTTTATCCCAAGGGCTCCCCTTGTCTTGTGACACGAAGCAAGGTAGTTTGTTGTAGCGACTTAGTTTAAACAAGATGTAAAAGTGAGAACCTGAATGGATCAGTCACTGAAACAGTCTCATCTCCCCCCCCCCACCCCATGCTTTATTCTCTACTTGGAAGAAATCCATTTGTGGCTTAGAAACCAAATGTTAACAGCAACCAAATAAATTGTGTGTAGGAGGCACCTTATTTGAGTGGGGGCTTGATCAAGAGCAGGCTTTAGGCACCTGTCTGAGAAATGTGTAGTGAGGTTAGAAGAGTCAGTTCCTTAGAACATTTATTGAGTAACCTTTCTCTTTCTTTAGCTCCACTGAAAAATGAGTTAAAAGAAACCTGCTACATCAACTGTTGTTGTAGGGAAGTTTCTCAGCAGACATTAAAGGAGTGTACATCTCACTGTGCTCCTGTACAGACTTGTTACTCAAATAGATTTCACTTTTGTAACTACTTAAATGAATTTGGATTAGGTAACTTGACAAGAATAATGTCTTTTTTTTTTTTTTTTAAGTTAAAATCCTCGGTAATTCTCTTGGTTATGTAGTGGCTATGACAGAAATACCACAGATGGGTGGTTTTAACAAACAAATTTATTTTCTCACAGTTAAGAGGCTAGAAGTCCAAACTCAGGTTGCTGGTTCTAGAGGAAGGCTTGCTTTCTATCAGCCCTGGAGGAAGGTCTTTGTCTCCTTTAGCTTCTGCTCTTAGTCCATCTTCATGTCGCTTAGCATCTCTCTTCCCCCATCTCTACTTCTCTCCATTGGTTGTTTAATCTCTTTCTTATCTGAAAGAGAGGTTGATTTAAAACACACTCTACACTGATCCTGCCGTATTAACATAACAAAATTCATTCCTAAATGGGATTATAAGCATAGGCATAAAAGTTAGGAGTTACAACATGTACTTTTTGAGGATATAATTCAATCCATTAGAGTAATAATCTTGGAGACTCTGATGGCACAGTGGCTAAGTGTTTGGCTACTAACCTAGAGGTTGGTGGTTCAGACCCACCAGCTGCTCCACAGAAGAGAAATGTGGCAGTCTGCTTCCATAAATAATAATCTTGAATGTATAAAAAATTGTATCTAAGAGTGCCAGCAAAATAGAAAATGAAGATAAATTTCAAACTCTTTTCCTTTGATAAAATCAATCTTAACCTTTTTAAGAGACTCCTTATTTTTGAGGGGACTTTTTGAATAAAACTGTTTCGTGTACTTTGGTCCTTATATCTGAAATGCTGAAACAAAAGAGAGTTTTGGTAGTCCAAACCTATCTACCTTCCATTAAGAATAAGGAACTGTGTTCTTATGTAGGCTTAGGACTTTTTTTTTTTTTTTGACAGAGGAGAACTGCCCCATAGTGTTTCCAAGGCTGTGAACTTTTTTTTTTTTTTAATATGTTTTTATTGTGATTTGGGTGAAAGTTTATAGAGCAAATTCGCTTTCCATTCCACAGTTCATGCACATTTTGTTTCGTGACATTACTTGCAATCCCCACAATGTAACAGCTCTTTTCCCACTTCCTCCGTGTGGTTACCTTTTCCCTGTGCTCTTGTTTCCTGCTCTGTGAGCTTTCTCCCTGCACAAATGATGTCCTTCTGATCTCCCTTGGTTGATTATTCTAACAGTTGGTGTAATTGTTCACCTCATAGGCATGTCTATTATTTGGCTGAAAGTTAAGCCAAACTTTGAGTGAGTTCAAATCGGGACCTAAAGGGTGAATAGGGGCCATGGTTTCAGGGGTTTCACCAGTCTCTATCAAACCACTAAGCCTGGTCTTTTTTTTTTTTTTTTCTTTTTTTTAAATAATTGTGAGTTTTGTTCTACATTTTTCTCCCATTCAATCCAGAATCTTCAACTTGGATCCCTTTCCAAGTGTTTGGCAGTGGTAGCTGGGCACTATCTAGTTTTTCTGGTCTCAGAGTCATGTGGGCTAAGGTTCTCATGGTTTCTTGGACTAATTGTTTCCATGCATCTTTGATTTTCTTCACTCTTCTTTGCTCCAGAAGAGGAGAAACCAATTGTTGCATCTTTGATGCCCGCTGGCAAGCTCTCAAGATCCCAGTAGTTACTCACCAAAGTAGGATGTGGAACAGTATTTGTGTAATATATTATGCCTTTTGAGTTTGATGTCCCCTGTGACCATGGTCCTGAGCCCATAGGCCCAGCAACTTACTCCCTCAAGGTGTTTTGTTGTGGCTATACCATATCCACTGCCACCAAGTGGATTCTGACTCATAGCTATCCCCTTTGGGTTTCCAAGGCGGTAAATCTTTATGGAAGTAGATTGCCCAGTCTTCCTTGTGCAGAGTGGCTGGTAGGTTTGAAAACCGCCAGCCTTCTGATTAGTAGTCAGATGCCTTAGGCACTGTGCCACCAGAGCTCCTTTGGTTGTGGCTAATAAGTTATTATAATTTTACCCACTATTAGCTCTATTTTATATGTATATAAATAAATATACATAATATATATGTGAGCATTTTGGTAATACATACATAATATGTAGACATATCATCTGCCAAACTTAAATATGATCACAGGTATAGTCTCTTTTCCCTATCCATATTTTGACATTTAAAAATTTTTAAATAGCTAGAGTTTTGCGTGTCATGTGTGTGCTGAAGTGTTTGGGCTTGGGAAATTATAAGTGGTTTTGGAGAGATGATTCGGTTTGGGAACAAAGATATTTAGAAATTAATGCTGAACAAAGGAGTGCTGCTGATATTCTTAGGTATTAATGTTTATGTCTTGGCAAAATTGGAAGAAGACTACCATTTAGTTATGTTTAATGGCAGTCTATTGTATACTGGTAATCTGTTCCTTGGCCCAAGTCTGGAAAAACTGTAAAGGAAACCTGCTTTCATTCATTCCTTCAGTCACCATTTAGCTTATGGGAATTGAAGAGTATTTTAAGTACATTATTTGAATATTTTTCTTTGTATGAGACCAGTGAGCTCACACATTTATGCAGATTTTTGATTTCTTGAATAAATATTTCTCTACTTTAATCCATTTCAAAGACATTTTCTATAGTTCTCCTCTGTTCATTTCTCAACACAATGCAATATAACTGTTGCCTCTAACACTATACACCTGGTTAGCAGCCGTTGCCAGTGACATTTAATTGCTAAATAGTTTTCTGTGTCTATCTTACTTGAAATTATAGCTCACTTCCTCCTTGTCCTTTTAAGCAATAGTGATCATCTCCTCTATTGTGTCTAGTGTAACATATGCTGTTTTTGTACTGTAATGCGATGTATATATTGCTTCACATTTTCTTCACTTCAAGACCTTGAATCCTTTGACACGAGAACTATGACTGGGATGGATTCTTAGTGATTATATAGTACAACTCCTTTATTTTGTTTCTTTGAACTACATGTTCCTTAACTAATTGCTAACGGTTGTGTGACTTGCTTTCATAAGTATAAAAAAATCGTTTAGAATAGCACATTAACTGTAGGCAAATGGATATTCCAAAGAGCGTAATTTAGTTTCTTAAATAAGATGAAAATTTATTCTGTAATTTTGGATAGCTGACAGTAATTTATATATATATATATGTATGTGTATATATATATATGTATATGTATGTGTGTGTGTATATATATATATACATGTATGTGTATATATATATATTTTTAACTTATTTTTGGCCATAGATTGTTTAAAAAAAAAAAAAAAAAAGAAACAGGTCTGAATACCAAAAATTCTAGATTTGTGGGAAAGGAACATGGTTTATTGTATTACCTAGTGACTAAGTCTAAATAAAATAACTGTCTTTTTTTTTTTAAGTCATTTAGACTCTTAGGATTAGAATATATTTTGCATCTTGGGATGAGTCCAACTTTCCATCCCA